ACACATGAGCAGCAGCACACAACACATGAGCAGCAGCACACAACACATCAGCAGCAGTACACAACACATGAGCGGCAGCACACAACACATCAGGAGCAGCACACAACACATGAGCAGCAGCACACAACACATGAGCAGCAGCACACAACACATGAGCAGCAGCACACAACACATGAGCAGCAGCACACAACACATGAGCAGCAGCACACAACACATGAGCAGCAGCACACAACACATGAGCAGCAACACACAACACATGAGCAGCAGCACACAACACATGAGCAGCAGCACACAACACATGAGCAGCAGCACACAACACATGAGCAGCAGCACACAACACATGAGCAGCAGCACACAACACATGAGCAGCAGCACAAAACACATGAGCAGCAGCACACAACACATGAGCAGCAGCACACAACACATCAGCAGCAGCACACAACACATCAGCAGCAGCACACAACACATCAGCAGCAGCACACAACACATCAGCAGCAGCACACAACACATCAGCAGCAGCACACAACACATCAGCAGCAGCACACAACACATCAGCAGCAGCCCACAGCACATCAGCAGCAGCACAGCACATCAGCAGCAGCACAGCACATCAGCAGCAGCACACAATACATGAGCAGCAGCACACAACACATGAGCAGCAGCACACAGCTACCTGTGCATGTTCTGCCATCCTTCTCCAGCTCGAAGCCAAGGTCACAGAAATAGGATGCCACCCCGTCTGAGTCCTTAGTGCAGCCGTTTTCACCACACGCCTGGAGCACACATGTATCTAGTGAGGGAAGAGTCAAAAGGGGACAACAACTGTTAGAATCGAGCAAAGCCATAAAGGAGCAGCCACAGCGCGACTTCTCAGCACAACGTGGGCAAACAGCACTCACCAACACAGCCATCCGCGATCTTGGCAAAGCCAGGGTTGCAATGATAGGAGGAGACTCCCTGGTCCTCCTCACAATAGCCGTTCTTCCCACAGTCCTCTGCGGTACACACCTCTGCCAGGTTCAGCACGAGAGGGACGACAGCACAATAAGCACAAGAGACAGAGACAGGTGAGGAGATTAGAGGATGTTGGAGCGGTCACATGACGCTCAGAGGCCGTTAGATACGGCTGGGAGGGTTAACAACAAGAGGCAGCAATGGCATGGGCGTTACCTTCAGCAAGGAAAATTTAAGCGCTGCCAAGAAACTAAGGACTGCACACATGTAGAGGGCATCAGCATCCGGGCAGGAGTGGATATGGGAAGCAACAAGGGTGGGTGAGGCTGAACTCACGGGCGCAGGAGGCATCGGGCAGCAGCTTGAAGCCCCTGTCGCACACGCAGTCCGCCCAGCCCGCCTCGTTCTTGAGGCACCTCGCGTTGGTGCCGCAGTTGCGCACCACGCACGAGTCTGCACGCAGGCACGTGGGGGTTAGATACAGGCACGCGGGGAGCAGAGGTCAGACACAGACACATGGGCGTCAGAAGAAGTTGTCACATTCAAATGCAGTTACCAAACGATGAAAGGCTGCAGTGGAGCAATGATGTTGCATTCACTCCTTCCGCCAGCACTCACCAACGCAGTTGCCGTCTGCGTCCTTGTCTTGGCCCACTGGGCACGATAGCAGGCGAATGGCAACCACAACTCTGGGCGCACAGGCTGGGCAAAACGGTGGGGGGGAAGAAGAATATGGTTAGTGGCTGAGGGTTGGAGATCATAAGGCAAAAGAGAAACAAAGAAAACATGTATGTGCAGGAATGTGCGGATCCATCCGTAGATAACTGTTTGCAAGGGTGAAGGAATGCGCATACCTGAGAGCATGAGAGTAGCCAGTGCGGCAGCAAGTACAAGGTTAGAGCCTCGCATCCTACTAGCCACGAAGAGTGCAGCCATAGTTGATCCGAGTTATCTCAGCGATGACAGACGATGTGGAACAGGTGAGCAATCTCAGATTGAAAGCGAAGCCACGTTCGGGAGAGGTATTGCTTGTTCAGCCGACTGGGAATGATGGAATGAATGATGTGCCGACTGGGATGGCCCCATTGCTGAAATACTTTCTGTCCAGTTCCGCCTCCTGCCGGATGCGTCCACTGGAACTCCGCCCTTCCTCTACGAAAAAATCTGCGTCCTTCCGTTCTTCTGGTGCCAAAAGAGTTTGACTTTCCGTTGCTCACGTCAGTACACAACTCGCCAGCCAGCGCATCTATTAGATCTGACGTGGACAGATTGACTCAATGATGTGGATAGCTTGACTTAATCTGACTCAGCTCCAGCATGACGGTCTGAAGACGAGCTGGGATTGGAGGGAGTGTGGTGAGGCGTGAGCTCAACAGTTGAAACGCCAGTAAGCTGCGCAGCGCGCACGAACACGTGAGAGCTGGATCCCAACGGTGCAAGTCGAAAATGGAACTTTCAAAAAGATTCCAATCCGATTGCAGAGTCTGCCTTTCCACGCTGGACTGCGGCGCTGCAGCGCTGGGCTGCATTCTGGGCTGAGCTGCACCGTCCCGATTACATTCCGACAGCGCGGTCGATGCCAGCCGAAGCTGGGGATGTACACGTCGCTCGTACTGTAGATCCTGAGTTCATCCAAAAGCTTTTGACTGGTTTCCGATGGTGCAATAGTAGGGTGTGCTGCTGACTAGATGGCCCACCCGCCGATTGCCCACCTGCCGGATAATGCGGTGGAAACTCCGCTCTCCACCCATCCGCGGGTGCCAAAAGAGTTGACATTTTGGATGATCGGATGATGCATCGGAACGTGTACCTGTGTGTAAAACGTCATGCCATCCATTGACTTGAGGTTTGATAGACATCGCTGGGGAAAATTTCCCGATGCCAGGGATTGGCGTGTTGCAATCAACAATTACAGCGTGTCACTTGCAGGTTGAATTCGTCATCCCGCGCGGCATCATTCCCAACCCCTGGTTTCCCTCCACAATCGAACTCGCCATTTGCCAAAGCGCGAAAGAACTGTACACAGCGCAATGCGGAATGGGGTTTGGTACAATGTTTTGTTCGCGGATCCAGAGATTCCGAATGCTGCAAAACATTTGCGAGTAAATCGAAGTGTGACTGCTCGCCATAAAGTGACTCGACACTGTGTAATAAAAACTCCCGAAACAAATTGTGTGTGATTATCATTTAGGCAAAGTTTTCTTGTCCACAAACTCAGGTTTGCTTACAACGGATCACTTTTGCAGCCGAGGCGGCAATACAGTGTCAGACTAATATATAATTCTATATATTGTTCTATAACTGCCTGTAGTGTAGAACATTGTAGTCATATAACTTTCTAGTTGGTGGTGCACCTTGCATGCTCTGTTTGCTATATGTACTCTTGTGCTATAGTGAACATCATTCCCCTCTCAACTTTCTCGACTCTTCTCCTTACCCTCGAACTCGATCACTAAGCTACTAAACCTATGGCTCCTAAGCCTACCCATGCTTAGTATCTTAACATACAGTTGCCCAGTGGTTACCACATGGCCAACAAGGTTACAAAATTCTGGGCTACGTTACATCGATAACCTAGTTACCTGGGTACACTGCAAATTGGGTTACATGTTACCGGGTATATCGGTAACAATTGTTACCAAATTACATTGCATGCTATAAAATTGAAAAAAGCCAAATTATAACAATCCGTCAAAACAGACCAATACAGTAATAAGCAGGTTTTTCCTAAAACACCTATTAATAGGTTCAGCATCATTAATTGAAACCTACACTAATAAAACTGCATGCATACAAAATATAGCATTCAAGAAGCATCCCCATCCCCAGACTCTTTCAGAATGTCATAATTGTCTAGCCTGCAGTGGGGTACTCTATAGCGAGTACAACCCAATCAGTGTTTCCTATATGTATGCCAACTGCTGCTAGTGCAAACCCTCTCTTCTTCATTCCTCATTTTTCACATGCTATCAGAGCATCTATGCTCCTGGCTTGTGGGCCCACCTAATGTCAGAACATTATAGCTCATGCATATTGTGTAGGCTATAGTGGGGTAGCCCATAAGGGGTACAACCCAATAAGGGTTAGTACTTGTACCCAATTCATTCATAGTTCATTCATTCTCGTTTCTATTCTAACATGGTATCGAGCAGGTTCCCTCGTGGGAACTGTTCCTAGGGCCCACCAATTCGACATTTTTTTTTCTGCCCGGAGCGCGCTCAGTCCTAGCCCGAGTCGCGCTCCCCCCTTTTTTCTCGCCCCGTCGCGCCGCCCTAGCGGCCCTGTCGCCTGCCTTGCGGCCCTCGCGCCGTCCTTCCTAGCCCCGACCCGCCGCCTGGCGGCCTCGTCGCCTAGCCCGCGGCCATCGCGCCGCCCTTACCCGGCCCCGATCCGCCGCCCTGCGGCCTCATCGCCTACCCAGCGGCCCTCGCGCCGCCCTGCGGCCCTAACGCCGCCCTTTCCGGCCCCGGCGCCTACCTGCAGCCCCGACGCCTACCTGTGCGGCCCCGGCGCCTACCTGCTGGCCCCGCCACCTACCTGCGGCCCCGCCACCTACCGGCGGTCCCGCCACCTACCCGCGGCCCCGCCACCTACCTGTGCGGCCCCGCCACCTACCTGCGGCCCCGCCACCTACCAGCGGCCCCGCCACCTACCCGCGGCCCCGCCACCTACTTGTGCGGCCCCGCCACCTACCTGTGCGGCCCCGCCACCTACCAGCGGCCCCGCCACCTACCCGCGGCCCCGCCACCTACCTGTGCGGCCCCGCCACCTTCCTGCTGGCCCCGCCACCTACTTGCGGCCCCGCCACCTACCAGCGGCCCCACCACCTACCTACGGCCCCGCCACCTACCCGCGGCCCCGCCACCAACCTGTGCGGCCCCGGCGCCTACCTGCGGCCCCGCCACCTACCTGCGGCCCCGCCACCTACGTGCGGCCCCGCCACCTACTAGCGGCCCCGCCAACTACCTGCGGCCCCGCCACCTACCTTTGCGGCCCTGCCGCCTCCTCTCAGCGGCCCCGCCGCCTCCTCCCAGCGGCCCCGGACGCTACCCTCTCAGCGGCCCCGCCGAGCCGCCCAGCAGCCAAGCTGCCCAGCAACCGAGCCGCCCAGCCGCCGAGCCGCCCAGCAGCCGAGCCACCCACAAGCCGAGCTGCCCAGCAGCCGAGCCGCCCAGCAGCCGAGCCGCCGAGCCGCCCAGCAGCCGAGCCGCCGAGCCGCCGAGCCGCCCAGCAGCCGAGCCGCCGAGCCGCCGAGCAGCCGAGCCGCCGAGCCGCCCAGCAGCCGAGCCGCCGAGCCGCCCAGCAGCCGAGCCGCCGAGCCGCCCAGGAGCCGAGCCGCCGAGCAGCCGAGCCGCCGAGCCGCCCTGCAGCCGAGCCGCCCGAGCCGCCCTGTCCGATAAGAGCAGCGCCTCTTTCACAGCACTGCCCTCACCCTACTGTTTGCGCTGCTAGTCTACTGCTGTCATGGCTACCCCTAGTGTCCTTGCTTTTGATGCTGAGGGTTGGGCCATTGACTTTGACGTCTGGATAGATGACCTGCAGCTTTTCTTACATTGCGATAGGGCACACGGCCTCTCCCTCTTTGACCTCACTTCTGGTGCCTCTCCTGCCCCCGCTGCTGATGCTGACGCCACTATTCGCTCACAGTGGGCCACGCGCGATGCTGCTGCACGTCTTGCTGTGCGTCGCCACCTGCCTACCTCTGAGCGTGCGCACTTTAGCCAGTACAAGAGTGCTCGGACCTTGTACGACGCTGTAGTTGCACGCTACTCTTCCCCTGCCACTGCTGCACTGAGCCGCCTCATGCTACCGTACCTCTTCCCTGACCTTGCTGCCTTTCCCACAGTCGCTGACCTCATTACGCACCTCCGCACTAGTGACACTCGCTACCGCGCTGCGCTTCCTGCTGAGTTCTGCGCCAAGAACCCCCCCCCCCCATGTACATCACCCTCTACTACATAGTCACCCGTCTCCCTGACTCCCTTCGCGTAGTCAGGGACCACTTCCTCTCGGTTTGCCCCACCACTCTCACCGTTGACCTCCTCGAGAAGACCCTCCTAGCAGCAGAAAAGAGCATAGTAGCTGTAGGAGCCTCTCGTGGTGACCCTCGCACCCCCATCTGTGAGGGGTGTTCCCCCTCCCCTCTTTTGCCCTCTGTTGCCTCTGCTGCTGCGGCCGACCTCGTTGGTCTGGAGTCGGTCGATGCGGCGTCTACCCCTAGTGGGAAGCGTCGCTCTGACAAGGGCAAGGGGGGCAGGGGCGCTGGAGGAGCTAGCGGAGGCGGTGGAGGCGGCGGTGGAGGCAGTGGAGGGGGTGGGGGTGGTGGTGGGAGTGGTGGCGGGGGTGGAGGTGTCGGCGGCGGCAGTGGAGGCGGAGGCGGCGGCGGCGGTGGCGGTGGGAGCGGAGGTGGTGGAGGTGGCGGAGGTGGAGGAGGCGGTGGCAGGGGAGGAGGAGGAGGAGGTCGTGGCTCTTCGCAGAGGAGTGGCTCCGGTGGTGGTCAACGCCAGTAGCAGCAGCGCAGCCGGGAGACCCTGTCCCCTCAGCAGCTCCGTGAGTGGTACGCTGCACGCCAGCGGGGTGGGGGTACTGGTCCGTGCACCTACGTCCTGCGCACCGGCGACCATGCGGATGAGCAGTGTGGGGGTGCGCACCCCACCCAGCGCTGCTTTGGCCGCCTGACGGACACTTGGCGTCACCAGTTCCCTGAGGCCACTGAGATCCCTCGCTGGGGCGAGCTGTCTAGGGCAGGGGTAGCTATCTTTGACCTTGACTTTGATGCTATTCTTGCTGCTATGTATACTGTGTCTATTAGTGAGGAGGGTGACTGTTACCGGTGTTTCCCGCCCGACCCGGGCATTGAGCCTACTGCTCTAGGTGCTGGTGAGGCTGCTGCTCTAGGTGCTAGCGAGGCTGCTGCTCTAGGTGCTAGTGCGTCTACTTCCTCCCGTACTGGTGAGTCTGCACTCTCAGGTACTGCGTCGGCTTCGGCCTCCCACACCTTCACACTTGACTCGGGGGCTTCTCGCTCCTTCTTTCGAGACCGCACCACACTCACGCCGCTTGGTCGGCCAGTTGCGGTCTCCCTGGCAGACCCCTCTGGGGGTCCTGTCCTTGCTCACATCTCCACTGTCCTCCCTTGTCCGACGGCCCACTCTGGCACCCTGTCTGGTCTTTACCTCCCCTCGTTCTCTACAAACTTGGTGAGTGGTGCTGACCTACAGGATGCGGGGGTTCACCAGTTCACTCCTGCGAGTCAGCGGGTGACCCACTGCACGGACGCTCGGATAGGCCGACACCTGGCCATGTTTACACGTCGGCCAGGGTCGAGCCTGTACACACTGACCACTGCGTCTCCTCCAGTCCCTGCGTCTGGTCAGGTAGCTGCGTCGGGTCAGGTGTTAGCTGCAGCGTCCAGGTCTGGTCCTGAGTCTGCCCCCTGCTCGTGTCGCCATCTGTCTCACGAGACTCTCCTCTGGCACCACCGCCTTGGTCACCCCTCCCTGCCTCGTCTCCGAAGCATGGCCTCCTATGTCCTTGTCTCTGGTCTTCCCCGGTCCCTCCCTCCCCTTCCTCCGGGGCCTGGCCCTTCCTGCGTCCCCTGTGTTGAGGGGCGCCAATGGGCTACCCCTCACTCCTCCCAGTTTCCTCCGACAGAGGCCCCGCTGCAGACGCTTCACATGGACGTGTGGGGCCTAGCCCGCGTCCGTGGACAGGGTCACGAGCGCTACTTCCTGCTGGTGGTTGACGAGTACTCGCGTTACACCACAGTCTTCCCCTTGCGCAGCAAGGGTGATGTCACTGAGGTGTTGATCGACTGGATCCGCGCAGCTCGTCTCCAGCTCAGGCGGAGCTTCGGCTCGGACTTTCCTGTTCTGCGTCTGCACTCTGACAGAGGCGGAGAGTTCTCCTCTTGCCTTCTGCGAGCCTACTGTCGTGCACGAAGCATCCGCCAGACCTTCACGCTTCCGGACTCTCCACAGCAAAATGGGATTGCTGAGCGCCGCATTGGCATGGTCATGGACGTCGCCCGTACATCCATGATGCATGCGGCTGCCCCCCATTTTCTGTGGCCGTTTGCGGTTCGGTACGCAGCGCATCAGATCAACCTTCAGCCCAGGGTCTCCATGCCGGAGACCTCCCCAGCTTTGCTGTGGACGGGGAAGGTTGGCGATGCGTCTGCGTTCCGTGTCTGGGGATCTCGGGCGTTTGTCCGCGACTTTTCTGCGGACAAGCTGTCCCCTCGTGCTGCTCCTTGCGTCTTCCTGGGGTTCCCCCCTGACGCGCCAGGGTGGCAGTTCTACCACCCCACCTCTCGCCGTGTTCTGTCCTCCCAGGACGTCACGTTCGACGAGTCGGTCCCCTACTACCGCCTCTTCTCCTACCGCACTCCGTCCCTCCCCCCGCCACCGCTCTTCCTTGTACCAGGTCCCCCCCCGGTAGACCCCCTCCCCCCTCAAGGTCCTGCCCCTTCAGGTGTGTCCCAGGTAGACGCTGTTGAGCCTGTCGAGGTCGGTGGTGACTCTGGTGCTGCTGAGGGTGCTGAGCCTGGGGGTGCTGACTCTGGGGGTGCTGAGCGTGTGGGTGCTACGCCTGGGGGTGCTGAGCCTGAGGGTACTACGTTTGGGGGTGCTGAGCCTGGGGGTACTGAGTCTGGGGGTGCTGAGCCTGGGGGTGCTACGCCTGGGGGTGCTGAGCCTGGGGGTGCTGAGCCTGGGGGTGCGGAGCGTGAGGGAGCTGGGCCTGCTGGTGCTATGCCTGGCGGTTCTCTAGGTGCTTCTTCTCGCCGGGAGCCACTCTCTCGACAGGAGCTGCGTGAGTGGTTTGCCCGTCGCTGGAGGCGAGCTGCTGGAGCTGGAGGTGCTGCGGGTACTAGAGGTTCTGTTGCTGCTGAGGGAGCTGGTGCCACGGGTCCCGGAGGTGCTCGTACCGGGAGTACTGGAGCTGCTGGACCTGCGGGTACTTCTGGAGCTGGAGCTGCTGCGGGTGTTGGCGCGGAGGCTACTGCTGTCGGTCGTGGAGGCGGTCCTGCTGGGGGTACTACTGGTGCTGCTGGGGGTACTGGAGCTGGAGCTACTACTGGTGCTGGTGCTGCCACTGGGGGTACTGGTGCTATCCCTGCTGTGTCTGGAGTCGCCGTGCGGCCTCGGCCGTACTTCGTTCAGCTCCTTCAGCATGTTCTTGGTCTCCCGTCTTCTACTGGTCCTCCTCCTCCTTTAGAGTGTCCACAGCCTGTCCCGTCGCAGTTACAGTTACAGCCGGCCTCTCCACTGCCTGCACCGTCTCCCTACACTGCTCCTACTAGAGGTCTTGCTGAGCGTCGTGAGCCTGCGTCTTGCCCTGCGTCGCCTGTCCGTGCTGCTCGCACTAGTGGTCGCGGTTCGCGTCAGCGTCCTCCTCCTGTCCCTGGCACACACCGGATGTCTCTGCGTCCATCCACTTCTCCTCTGCGTGCCCCTTTACCTTCTCCTCCTGAGTCTTCTGTTCCTACTCTTGCCAACCCGGAGCCGGACTCTCTTCGTGCTGCCAGTCCTACTGTCACGCATCTCCTTGCTACTGTTGTCACTGACCCTTTCTTTGAGTCCACTGATGCGTCTGCCCTAGTTGCTGAGCTCGTCGAATTTGCTGCTCGCTGTCGCCTAGGCTACGCCACTAGTCTTGTTGCTGAGTCTGCGTCTGTCTGTCCTCCGTCCGTCGGGGGTGAGTGTGCCCTTGGCACGGACGTCCTTGAGGACAGGCAGGAGGAGTTCCAGTGCTTGGCCGCTGCTTCACCTCATCTCGTGTCCGTACTGCTTACCCCTAAGGGAGACCCGGATGCACTTGACATCCCGACTCCGCGCTCTTACGCGGAGGCGATAGAGGGTCCCTACTCCTCTCAGTGGCAGGCAGCTATGGACGCAGAGATGGCTTCCTGGAAGTCCACAGGCACCTACGTTGACGCTGTTCCCCCTCCTGGGGCGAACATCGTCAGTGGCATGTGGATTTTCAGGGTGAAGCGGCCGCCGGGTTCTCCGCCTGTCTTCAAGGCGCGTTACGTGGCTCGTGGCTTCAGTCAGCGGCAGGGAGTTGACTACTTTCAGACCTTCTCTCCCACCCCGAAGATGACCACTCTTCGGGTACTGCTGCACGTAGCAGCTCACCGTGACTACGAGCTACACTCTCTTGACTTCAGCACTGCTTTCTTGCAGGGCAGCTTGCACGAGGAGATCTGGCTGCGTCGCCCACCTGGTTTCACTGGGTCTTTTCCTCCTGGCACCCAGTGGAGCCTCCGGCGGCCAGTCTACGGTCTGCGCCAGGCACCGCGTGAGTGGCACGACACACTGAGGACTATACTTGCGGCTCTTGGGTTTGCTCCCTCTACTGCCGACCCGTCGCTGTTTCTGCGCACCGACACTTCTTTGCCGCCATTCTACATCCTCGTGTACGTCGACGACTTGGTCTTTGCCACAGCTGACACTGCTGGACTCGCCCACGTGAAGTCAGAGCTGCAGAAGAGACACACGTGCACAGACCTGGGTGAACTGCGCAGCTACCTTGGCTTGCAGATCACTCGGGACAGAGCACGCCCCACCATTACCCTGACTCAGTCACACATGGTGCAGCAGGTCCTTCAGCGCTTCGGCTTCACGTACTCCTCGCCTCAGGCCACTCCTCTGTCTACTCGCCACTCACTCTCAGCTCTGCCTTCGGATGAGTCCGTAGAGTCGAGTGGCCCGTACCCAGAGCTTGTTGGCTGTGTCATGTACCTGATGACCTGCACACGACCTGACCTTGCATACCCTCTTAGCATTCTAACACCTAACTGCTTCCGCTGCTACTCTGTGTGTTGTACGCCCCCTGGTGTGCCCCTCGCGCGACCCTTAGCGGCCCCGTCGTAACCCCTTGCGGCCCCGTCGCCGCCCTTCTCGGCCCCTCGCGGCCCCTTCGCGGCCCCGTTGCCGCCCTTCCAGGCCCCTCGCGGCCCCTTCGAGGCCCTGTCGCCGCCCCTAACGGCCCCGTCGCCGACCTTTCAGGCCCCTTGCGGCCCTTTCGCGGCCCCGTCGCCGCCCCTAGCGGCCCGTCGCCGCCCTTCCAGGCCCCTCGCGGCCCCTTCGCGGCCCCGTCGCCGCCCCTATCAGCCCCGTCGTCGCCTCCAGCGGCCCCGTCGCCGCCCCTAGCGGCCCGTCGCCGCCCTTCCAGGCCCCTCGCGGCCACTTCGCGGCCCCGTCGCCGCCCCTATCGGCCCCGTCGCCGCCTCCAGCGGCCCCGTCGCCGCCCCTTGCGGCCCCGTCGCCGCCCCTTTCGGCTCTGCCTCGACCCTGCCCCGGCCCCGCCCTGGCCATGCTCCGCCGCCTGTCGCGGCGCACCGGGGGCACGTGCACCGCTTTTCCCGTCGCCCGTCGCGGCTCCCTGGGGGGCCGCGGCTACCTGGGGGGGGGGAGCGAGCGTCGCCCCTTCTGCCGCCTGCTTTGGCGCCCTAGGAGGCCGCGCGTCGCCCCCCCCCCCCCTCCCCCCCCCCGTAACCTCCCTACCCGCCATCCCGCCCTGCCCTTTGTTAGGGTTTGGGGGTGGCGAGTAGGGGGTGGCGGGTGTGTGGTCTCCCCTGCTCCTCCTCCTCTGTCTCCCACAGCTGCAGCTGCCGCTGAGGGGGGTGGGTATGTGGGAGTTGACGGAGTGGTGCTAGGGGGTGGGGTGTGAGTGAACCTAGGGTGCAGCAGGGGGTGTGTGAAAGGGGGGTGCTTTGGGAGTAGAACTAGGGTTTGAGCAGGGGGTGTGTGTCGAGAGGTGTGGGGCAGCTGGAGGAGGTTGTGTGAAGGTAGCTGTTGTGTCGCCTGCAGCGCCTGTAGTCCGTCGCCCTTGCTTCGGTAGCCAGTGAGCCTGTTGCACCAGTCGCCAGTGGGTCCGTTGCTCCTGCCGCTCGTCTATAGCCGCGGAGCCAGTTACTCTAGTAGTCCGTCGCCCTTGCTTCAGTAGCCACTAAGTCAGCCGCTCCTGTGCCCGTGCCTCTGCAGCTTCAGTCGTTGCCTCCCATCTTCTCTCCCTCCACAGTTCCTCCTCCTCCTCACTTGCCCGCTGTGATTAACTTTAGCTTTGCTCCCTATTGTGAACTCCTGCTCTATGCCTGCTTGCTCATTGTGCTGATTACACCCCACTTTGGCTATGGGGGTGTGTCAGAATGTCATAATTGTCTAGCCTGCAGTGGGGTACTCTATGGCGAGTACAACCCAATTAGGGTTTCCTATATGTATGCCAACTGCAGCTAGTGCAAACCCTCTCTTCTTCATTCCTCATTTTTCACAGACTCATCATCTACCACCTCATCCTAATCTAACTCATCCTCCGCATCCTCATCCCCCAGAACATCCGCATCCAGAGCCTCCTGGGGGATGGTCACCCACTGCGCCAAACAAATGCGCCCAATGCCAATGAACTCACCCTGAGGCACGCCCATGCTATTGATATAGCGCTGCACAATGCGCGCTTGCCTGGAAATGGCGAGAGAATCACCAGAGCGACCAAGTTGAAGCTTGTTGCAAGTGGGGTGACGTAGCCTAAAACGAACCTGCATACAATGGACAACACAAAAGAGGGTTGTAAGATCACACAAAAGTTTTGAAGAAATGCTGTAACAGATGCAATAAGACTTACAACTGCAAGAATGAGGAGCAGCTGCGATGCATAGAGCGGCAGTAGGGCGCCTGGTGCAGCCTCTGTCGCAAACAGGCACGCACACGCCATGAAGGCAGGGCTGGAAAAAGGGTGGCCGCCAAGAAGGTGCCACTCTATGCCCTTCAACCCTGTGACAAAACCACAAAGCACAGAGAAAGGAGTAACGGTGACAGAAAGTACAAGCTGCTTTATAATGACAGGGTGAGCACAAACAAGGACAAAATATTAACTACAGCTAACAAAATGATACAAAGTACGAGGTTAGTGACATTCACACGGGCAAACACTTACTGCTGCCGTACACTCCCACGTAAGTATGGCAGCGGGAAGCGAAATTGTCCGGTTGCACCGTTCGGATGGTCCCGTTTGGAGCACGCCTAAGCAGCAACAGCCGCGCGCCCCGTATCAACCGCGAGCTCTTCCTGCAGCCACCGTAGATCTTGCCAATGCGGTTGTCGAACCGCTTCTCCCTTTTCTTTACGATATCCTTGTCCTTTATGTGCGCGACCAGCCTCACTGCTTCGTCCCTGCCTGCCGTGAAACCTGAATGTGCTGTGCGAAGTACAAACACGGGGGGCATCAGTAACACATATCGCAACAGTAGCACCAAGAACACAGGCTGCAATCTAGATCGATTGCTTACCTACTAGGCGGCGAACAAAATCACTCCTCTTCGGCGACATGTTGATGTGGTCGCCTTCGTAGAGGAAATCGTTGACGGTTTCTGACATCATTCTCTGAAATATGTACAGGAGCACGCATCACGTAAGAGCCAGGGTAAACAGAGTACGAAACGAGACAGAAATGAACCCACCCCGAAATCCAGATAAACAATCTCATGTGCTCGAAACGGCGTTGGCGAGAGAACCGGCGATGCCAAGTGCTTTCAGGATCTGAACATCCTTCGTCTTGCAATCGGACTGCAGCAACTGCACAGACTCGCGAGCAAGTGCAGCCTGCGCACGAAGGCTCGGATTGACCGGGTTTTCACGCGACTCGCGATGAAACTTGTCGGCCTCTGGACTAGGATTAACGCCCGCCTGCTTCAAGGTACGGGCATAGACGGTGAGACCTGCACGGAATAGAAAACGGAGGTGAGTAACGGGGGTAGTACTCAACACAAACGGAACGCGCGGAAAAACTTACCACGAGCGCCGTTCCCTTGTAGAGTTTGTGCAATAACGTCCCCAAAGAGCTCGGTCTCCTCTTCCTCTTCTGCATCCGCAGTTGGGACAGCTACGCCCATGGCGACAGCATCCGGGATCGCCGCAGGAGTTGGAGCAGGATGGGTATGTTGAAATATATTTCTTATATAAACTGCTTGTAGCGATAGTTAGTGTAGTGTTACATTGTTTGGTGGTGCACCTTGCTTGCTTTGCCTATATCCTTGTACCTTCTCTCTTTATCGAACATCTTTTCTCCTTTGCAACTCTCTCGACATTCCCCTTGAACCCTAAAACCTAAGCTACTAAGCTACCATAGCTATGGCTCCTAAGCCTACCTGCACTTCTTGATTCTGACATGGTATCAGAGCTTCTTAGATCTTGGCCTGTGGGCCCATGCTTCCGCTGCCTGTCATCCTGCCGCGCGCCTCGGGCGCGCGGTGTATTTTCCTTGCCGTGCGCCCGGGGCGCACGGCGATTTTCTGCCCGCCGTGTGCTCGGGGAGCACGGCGGTTTTCTGCCCGTCGTGCGCCCCGGGCGCGCGGAGTCTTCCTGTCCGCGCGCAGGCCTGTTCTGCCCGCCCGTACCCTGCCCTTCGCGGCGCCCTGCAGAGGCGCCGCTCCTGCTCGTTGCGACGCCCCTGCGGGACCCGTGCGTCGCCGCTCCTGCTCGTCGAGACGCCCCTGCGGGACCCGCGGGGCGCCGCCCCTGCTCGTCGCGGCGCCCCCTGGGCGATGTCCCTGCTCGTCGCGGCGCACCCCCCCCTGGTCGCCGCCTCTGCCTCCCCTGCGCCCGCGCCTGCTTTGCAGCAACGCGCGGGCCTGCCCTGCACCAGCGACGCCGCCCCTGGAGCAGCCGCCCCTGCAGCAGCCGCCCCTGCAGCAGCCGCCCCTGGCCCCTGGAGCAGCCGCCACTGCAGCAGCCGCCCCTGGCCCCTGGAGCAGCCGCACCGGCAGCCGCCCCTGGCCCCTGGAGCAGCCGCCCCTGGCCACTAAAGCAGCCGCCACTGCAGGAGCCGCCCCTGGCCCCTGGAGCAACCGCCCTTGGAGCAGCCGCCCCTGGAGCAGCCGCCCCTGCAGCAGCCGCCCCTGGCCCCTGGAGCAGCCGCCCCTGCAGCTGCCCGCGACGCCGCTCCTGGACCCTCTGCAGCCGTGGGGGGAGGGTATGGGGGTGGCGGGTGTGGGGGTGATGAGTGTGGGTGCTACCCTTCCCCTCCTCCTACTTTGTCTCCCACTGCTGCAGGTGCCGCTGAAGGGGGGTGGATGTGTGGGAGCCGAGGGGAGTGGAGCTAAGGGGGTGTCGTGGGAGTGGAGACAGCGGTGCAGCAAGAGGGTGTGTGAGAAGGGGGTGTGGGACTGTTAGGGGAGGTAGAGCGGAGGTCGCCGTCGTGTTGTCAGCAGCGCCAGTAGTCCGGAGCCCTCGTGCTCTCGGTAGCCCTAGGAGCCTGCTTCGCCAGTCGCCTGTGGGTCCGTTGCTCCTGCCGCTCGTCGTAGCCGCGGAGCCAGATACTCCCATAGTCCGGTGCCCTCGTGCGTTCGGTAGCCACTGTGCGCTCCGCTCCTGTTGCCCGTGTGACTGCAGCTTCACCTGTCGCCTCCTATCTCCACCCCTGTCACAGTCCCTCCTGTCAAATTATAATATTGTGTAGGCTATAGTGGGGTAGTCTATATGGGGTACACATTTCTAGGGTTGCATATTTGTATCACTCCTATTCCTTAGTCAATTCATTCTCGTTCTACTTTCCTCATGGTATCGAGCAGGTTCCCCCTTGGGAACTGTGCCTAGGGCCCACCACATCGAGTTTCATTTTTTTTCTCCTGCCCGAAGCGCGCTCCGCCCGAGTCGCGCTCCGGGCTCTCACCTCGTCGAGCCGCCATAGCGGCCCCTACGCCCTAGCGGCCCCGCCGCCCTACTCAGCCGCCCCGCCGCCCTTCAACTGCGGCCCCGCCGCCCTTCTCAGCGGCCCCGCCGCCCCTCGCACCAGCGGCCCTGCCGCCCTACACCGCCCGCGCCGCCCGAGCCGCCCGAACCGCCCGAGCCGCCCGAGCCGCCCGACCTGCCCGAGCTGCCCGAGCCGCCCAAGCCGCCCGACTCTCCTGAGCCGCCCGAGCCGCCCGACCAGCCCGAGCCGCCCGAGCCGCCCGAGCCGCCCGAGCCGCCCGAGCCGCCTGAGCCACCCGAGCCGCCTGAGGAGCCGAGCCGCTAGCACCACGGAGCCGCAGTTGCTGCTGAGCCTTCCGAGCAGCCGTGTTGCCGTGTTGCTGTACTGCTGAGCTGCCCGACCCGCCCTGTCCGGTGAGAGCAGCGCTTCTGTCACGGCACTGCCCCTGTCCTACAGTTGGTACTGCTAGTCTACTGCTGTCATGGCTACCCCCAGTGTTCTCGCTTTTGACGCTGAGGGTCGAGCCATTGACTTTGAAGTTTGGGTAGATGACCTGCAGCTTTTCCTACAGTGTGATAGGGCAGACGGTCTCTCCCTCTTTGACCTCACCTTTGGCGCCTCTCCTGCCCCTGCTGCTGATGCTGACCCCACTGTTCGCTCCCAGTGGGCCACGCGCGATGCTGCTGCACGTCTTGCTGTACGTCGCCACCTGCCTACCACTGAGCGCGCGCACTTTAGTCAGTACAAGAGTGCTCAGACCTTGTACGATGCTGTAGTTGCGCGCTACTCTTCCCCTGCCACTGCTGCACTGAGCCGCCTCATGCTACCGTACCTCTTCCCTGACCTTGCTGCCTTTCCCACAGTCGCTGACCTCACTACGCACCTCCGCACTAGTGACACTAGCTACCGCGCCGCGCTTCCTGCTGACTTCTGCGCCAAGAACCCCCCCCCCCATGTACATCACTCTCTATTATATAGTCACCCGCCTCCCTGACTCCCTTCGCGTAGTCAGGGACCACTTCCTCTCAGTCTGTCCCACCACTCTCACTGTTGACCTCCTAGAGAAGGCCCTCCTAGCAGCGGAGAAGAGCATAGTTGCTGTAGGAGCCTCTCGTGGTGACCCTCGCACCCCCATCTATGAGGGGTGTTCCCCTTCCCCCCTGTTGCCCTCTGTCGCCTCTGCTGCTGCGGCCGACCTCGTTGGTCTTGAGTCGGTCGGTGCGGCGTGTGCCCCTAACGGGAGACGCCGCTCTGGCAAGGGCAAGGGGGGCAAGGGCGCGGGTGGAGCTAGCGAGGGTGGTGGAGGTGGCGGTGGAGGCGGTGGAGGGAGTGGGGGTGGCGGTGGGAGTGGTGGCGGGGGTGGAGGTGGTGGTGGCACCAGCGGAGGCGGAGGCGGCGGAGGCGGTAGCGGTGGGAGCGGAGGCGGCGGTGGTGGCGGAGGTGGAGGTGGCGGTGGCGGAGGAGGTGGAGCTGGTCGGGGTGGTGCTTCGCAGCGGAGCGGCTCCGGTGGTGGTCCGCGCCAGCAGCACCGTTCTCGGGACATCCCCCCTCCTCAGCAGCTCCGTGAGTGGTACACACAGCGTCAGCGTGGTGGGGGTTTTGGTCCGTGCACCTACGTCCTTCGCTCCGCCGACCGCGCGGGTGAGCAGTGTGGGGGTGCTCACCCCACCCAGCGCTGCTTTGGCCGCCTGACGGACGCTTGGCGTCAGCAGTTCCCGGAGGCTAGTGAGATCCCCCGCTGGGGAGAGCTGTCTAGGGCAGGTGTAGCTATCTTTGATCTTGACTTTGATGCTATCCTTGCTGCCATGTATGCTGTGACTATTAGTGATGAGGGTGACTGTTACCGGTGTTTCCCGCCCGACCCGGGCATTGGTAATGCTGCGCTAGGTGCTAATAAGGCTACTGCTCTAGGTGCCATTGCGTCTGCGTCCTTAGGTGCTGGTGAGTCTGCGCTCTCAGGTACCGCGTCGACTTCGGCCTCCCTCACCTTCACACTTGACTCAGGGGCTTCTCGCTCCTTCTTTCGAGACCGCACCACACTCACGCCGCTTGGCCGGCCAGTTGCAGTCTCCCTGGCAGACCCCTCTGGGGGTCCTGTCCTCTCTCACTTCTCCACTGTCCTCCCGTGTCCGGCTGCCCCCTCTTGCACCTTGTCTGGTCTTTACCTCCCCTCGTTCTCGACGAACTTGGTGAGTGGTGCTGACCTGCAGGATGCGGGGGTTCACCAGTTTACTCCTGCGAGTCAGCGGGTGACCCACTGCTCGGACGCCCGCACGGGCCGGCACCTGGCCACATTTCGCGTCGGCCGGGGTCGAGTCTCTACACCCTGACCACTCGGTCCCCTCCTGTCCCTGCGTCTGGCCAGGTAGCTGCGTCGGGTCAGGTGTTTGCTGCAGTGTCCAGGTCTGGTCCTGAGTCTGCCCCCTGCTCGTGTCGCCTCCTGTCTCACGAGACTCTCCTGTGGCACCACCGTCTTGGTCACCCCTCTCTGCCTCGTCTCCGAGGCATGGCTTCCTGTGTCCTTGTCTCTGGTCTTCCCTAGTCCCTCCCTCCCCTGTCAGATCCCAACCACTAGACCATTCGGATAAAAGGGCTTTTTAAGTTGCGGGTCAGGGTGCGCCCATAACCCCCCAGGCAAACGCGCCTGTAACCCCCCGTAGGATCAATCGGGCATCCACAGTGCAGATCTACTGACATTCCCCCACACTGGGAGGCCCAAGACTGAGCACAGCGGCAACGGCCTACATGTGCATACACCCGGATTCGAGCCCGAGACCACTCTGACACCATGTCAGAATCCCAGTCACTAGACCATTGGGATAGAAGGGCTTGTTAAGTAACGGGTCATAGTGCGCCCATAACCCCCCAGGCAAACGCGCCTGTAACCCCCCGTAGGATCAATCGGGCATCCGCAGTGCGGATCTACTGACACCCCCCCCACACTGGGAGGCCCAGGACTGAGCACAGCCACAACGGCCTACATGTGCATACACCGGGATTCGAACCCGAGACCACTCTGACACCATGTCAGAATCCCAGTCACTAGACCATTGGGATAGAAGGGCTTGTTAAGTAGCGGGTCAGTGCGCCCATAACCCCCCAGGCCAACGTGCCTGTAACCCTTGCCTAGGATCAATCGGGGATCACCAGTGGACCTCTGACACCCCCCCGTACTGGGATGCTCAAAGTGCATACACCGGGATTCGAACCCGAGACCTTCGCTCTAATACAATGTCAGAATCCCAACCACTAGACCATTGGGATAAAAGGGCTTTTTAAGTTGCGGGTCAGAGTGCGCCCATAACCCCCCAGGCAAACGCGCCTGTAACCCCCCGTAGGATCAATCGGGCATCCACAGTGCAGATCTACTGACATCCCCTTCCTCCACGGCCTGGTCCTTCTTGTGTCCCCTGTGTCGACGGGCGTCTCCGGGCTACCCCTCACTCCTCTCAGTTTCCCCCGACAGAGGCCCCGCTGCAGACGCTTCACATGGACGTGTGGGGCCCGGCCCGCGTCCGTGGACAGGGTCACGAGCGCTACTTCCTGCTGGTGGTTGACGACTACTCGCGTTACACCACAGTCTTCCCCTTGCGCAGCAAGGGTGATGTCACTGAGGTGTTGATCGACTGGATCCGCGCAGCTCGTCTCCAGCTCAGGAGGAGCTTCGGCTCAGACTTTCCTGTTCTGCGTCTGCACTCTGACCGAGGCGGAGAGTTCTCCTCTTGCCTTCTGCGAGCCTACTGTCGTGCGCGAGGCATCCCCCAGACCTTTACGCTTCCGGACTCTCCACAGCAAAATGGGATTGCTGAGCACCGCATTAGCATGGTCATGCACGTCGCTCGTACGTCCATGATGCATGTGGCTGCCCCCCATTTTCTGTGGCCGTTTGCGGTTCGGTACGTGGCGCATCAGATCAACCTTCACCCCAGGGTCTCCAGGCCGGAGACCTCCCCAGCCTTGCTGTGGACGGGGAAGGTCGGCAATGCGTCTGCGTTCCGTGTCTGGGGATCTCGGGCGTTTGTCCGCGACTTGTCTGCGGACAAGCTGTCCCCCCGTGCTGCTCCCTGTGTCTTCCTTGGCTTCTCCACTGACGCCCCTGGGTGGCAGTTCTACCACCCCTCCTCTCGTCGTGTTATGTCCTCCCAGGACGTCACGTTGGACGAGTCAGTCCCCTACTACCGTCTCTTCCCCTACCGCACTCCTTCCCTCCCCCCGCCGCCGCACTTCCTTGTGCCAGGTCCCCCACAGGTAGACCCCCTCCCCCCTCAGGGTCCTGCCCCTTCAGGTGTGTCCCAGGTAGACGCAGTCGAGCCGGTCGAGGATGCTGGTGACTCTGGTACTGCTGCGGATGCTGAGCCTGGGGGTGCTGACTCTGGGGGTGCTGCACGAGGGGGTGCTGAGCCTGGGGGTGCTAAGACTGGGGGTGCTGAGCCTAGGGGTGCTACGACTGGGGGTGCTGGGCCTGGGGGTACTACAACTGGGGGTGCTGAGCCTGGGGGTCCTTCGCCTGGGGGTGCTGCGTCTAGAGCTGCTGAGCCTGGGGGTGCTGAGTCTGGAGCTACTGAGCCTCGGGGTGCGGAGCCCGCGATCGCTGGACCTGCTCGTGTGGCGTCTGGCGGTGCTGGGCTTGGTGGTTCTCCGGGTGCTTCGTCTCGGCGGGAGCCACTCTCTCCACAGGAGCTGCGCGAGCGGTTTGCCCGGCGCTGGAGGCGTACTACAGGAGCTGGTGCTTCTTCAGCTGCTGAGGGTGCTGGTGCCGCCGGTCTCGGAGGTGCTAGTCCTGCGAGTGCTACTGGAGTCGGAGCTGCTAAGGGTGTTGGCGCTGAGGCTACTGCTGTCAGTCCTGGCGGCGGTCCTGCTGCGGGTGCTGCTGGTGCTGCTGGAGGTACTGGAGCTGGAGGTGCTGTTGACGCTGGTGCTGCCGCTGGGGGTGCTGGTGCTATCCCTGCTATGTCAAGAGTCGCCGCGCGGCCTCGGCCGTACTTTGTCCCGCTCCTTCAGCAGGTTCATGGTCTTCCTCCTCCCTTAAATTGTCCACCGCCTCTCCAGTCACAGTCACAGTTACCGCCGGCCTCCCCACTGCCTTCTCCTTCTCCGTACACTGGTCCTACTGGAGGTCTTGCTGAGCGTCGTGAGCCTGCGTCTCGTCTTGCGTCGCCTCTTCGTTCTGCTCGCACTAGTGGTCGCAGTTCGCGTCAGCGTCCTCCTCCTATCCCTGGCACGCACCGGATGTCTCTGCGTCCGTCCACTGCTCCTCTGCGTGCCCCTTAGCCCTTTCCTCCTGAGTCCTCTCTTCCTGCGCTTACCGACCCTGAGTCGGACTCTCTTCGTGCTGCCAGTCCTACTGTCACGCGTCTCCTTGCTACTGTCGTCACTGACCCCTCCTTTGAGTCCACTGCTGCGTCTGCCTTAGTTGCTGAGCTTGTCGACTTTGCTGCTCGCTATCGTCTAGACTACGCTGCTAGTCTTGTTGCTGAGTCAGCGTCTGTCTGTCCTCCGTCCGTCGGGGGTGAGTGTGCTCTTGGCACGGACGTCCTTGAGGACAGGCAGGAGGAGTTCCAGTGTCTGGCTGCTGCTTCACCTCATCTCGCGTCCGTACTGCTTACCCCTGAGGGAGACCCGGATGCACTAGACATCCCGACTCCGCGCTCTTACGCGGAGGCCGTAGAGGGTCCCTACTCCTCTCAGTGGCAGGCAGCTATGGATGCAGAGATGGCTTCCTGGAAGTCCACAGGCACCTATGTTGACGCGGTTCCCCCTCCTGGGGCGAACATCGTCAGTGGCATGTGGATTTTCAGGGTGAAGCGGCCGCCGGGCTCTCCACCTGTCTTCAAGGCGCGGTACGTGGCTCGTGGCTTCAGTCAGCGGCAGGGAGTTGACTACTTTCAGACCTTCTCTTCCACCCCAAAGATGACCACTCTTCGTGTGCTGCTACACATAGCCGCTCAGCGTGACTACGAGCTTCACTCCCTTGACTTCAGCATTGCTTTCCTGCAGGGCAGCCTGCACGAGGAGATCTGGTTGCGCCGTCCACCTGGCTTCACTGGGACTTTCCCTCCCGGCACCCAGTGGAGCCTCCGACGGCCAGTCTACAGTCTCCGCCAGGCACCGCGCGAGTGGCACGACACACTGAGGACTACACTTGCGGCTCTTGGGTTTGCTCCCTCTACTGCTGACCCGTCGCTGTTTCTGCGCACCGACACTTCTTTGCCGCCGTTCTACATCCTCGTGTACGTCGACGACTTGGTCTTTGCCACAGCTGATACTGCTGGACTCGCCCACGTGAAGTCCGAGCTGCAGAAGAGACACACGTGCACTGATCTGGGTGAACTGCGCAGCTACCTTGGCTTGCAGATCACCCGGGACAGAGCACGCCGCACCATTACCCTGACTCAGTCACACATGGTGCAGCAGGTCCTTCAGCGCTTCGGCTTCACGTACTCCTCGCCTCAGGCCACTCCTCTCTCTACTCGCCACTCGCTCTCAGCTCTGCCTTTGGATGAGTCCGTAGAGTCGAGTGGCCCGTACCCAGAGCTTGTTGGCTGCCTCATGTACCTGATGACCTGCACACGACCTGACCTTGCATACCCTCTTAGCATTCTCGCACGCTATGTTGCTCCTGGGAGACACAGACCAGACCACATGGCTGCAGCGAAGAGGGTGTTGCGCTACTTGTGCAGTACGTCGGGCATGGGGCTAGTGCTTGGAGGGCGGAGTCCAGTGGTCCTCACAGGTCATGCGGACGCTTCTTGGGCAGACGACTAGGCTACGCAGCGGTCGTCACAGGGTTACACCTTCAGCCTTGGTTCCGGCTCTGTTTCGTGGCAGGCTACTCGCTCGTCTTCTGTTCTCGGCTCCAATTGTGAGGCTGAGATCTACGCCGGGGCCATGGCTGCACAGGAGCTTCGCTGGCTTACCTACCTGCTGACTGACCTCGGAGAGCCGCCTCGTTCTCCTCTCGTGCTGTACGTAGACAGCAAGGCCATGCTAGCCTTGTGTCGGGAGCAGCGCGTGGAGCACAGAACAAAGCACATTGCTCTCCGCTACTTTCTTGCTCGTGAGCTGCAGCAGCGTGGTCAGTTGCGACTTGCGTACGTGGCCTCTGAGGCCAACACTGCTGATGTTTTCACCAAGGCACTTCCGCCTTGTGATCATCAGCGCTTCTGCACTCAGCTGGGTCTTGTGCCTTTCTTGCCTCACTTGCTCACCTCTTGATCTTGCTTGTTCTCTTACATATATATATACCTGCTCTTGCTTGTTTAGTCTTATATATATATGTGCACTCCTGCATGTGAACTGGCCTTGTGGCCTTGACCTTGTGCTCGGACTGTGTGGTGACGTTGTGATCCACCCTGAGCTTTGCTTTGCTTTGCTTGACTGGTCTTGTGACCCCTTGTTCTCCCCCACTTTGCCTATGGGGGTGTGTCAAATTATAATATTGTGTAGGCTATAGTGGGATAGTCTATATGGGGTACACATTTCTAGGGTTGCATATTTGTATCACTCCTATTCCTTAGTCAATTCATTCTCGTTCTACTTTCCTCACCTCCTCCTCCTCACTTCCCCTCTCCTTCT